AATTTTATGCTGGCTTCAGTTTTGATTGGTTTCAAATTGGACAAGGGTTTGGCCTCATGATCGGACTATTGGAAATTTGGTTTAGGTCCAATTCAGACCAATAAGAATATGGGCTAATTTATTTTGGATTGGCCCAATCCAATAATTATAATGGACTGTCCAAATCCAATTTGATAAGGTTTAGATCGAATTGGATCCAATCCAAAACCAGTCGATGGACACCCCTACATACAGCAAGTCATGTCTTTTTCTTTTTCCTTTTTTTTCTTGGGTAAAAGCAATATGAAAAGAAACTTTGGAAACTAATATTGAAATAGAAGGGAAGAATATCAAGACATACCAACAGTTTTTGGTACAACCTGGCCATACAATCCAATAACTATTCTGCCTGCAGAAGATTGACGTTTAAGTCTGAAAGTTAGTAGCAAGTTAAGAAAATGGAGTATTAGAACACTGCAAATGTTAAGAAATTAGAATAAGAAAAGATTTGATTGTTTCTCTTGAACCTGAGCTCTGAGATAATGCAACTGTTTCTCTACCAAAAAGACAATGGCAGAACCATATGGGTGCAAAATGAGATACTAAAGGAATAAAGGTGATAGGGCAACATACTCAAAAGTGATAAGCAATCTGGAAAAACCAAAAGTACTTGGAAAACACATTAAGAACCCATGCAAAACTAAATTAAATCCAAATGTTGATTTATCCTCTAAATTCTAAAACACATAACACACTAATGTACCAATTGCCAGCATGACCAATACCAACTCCATAGGATGGTTCACTTATGTAATATTTTTTTCTTTCCTCGTTTGTACCCGTCAGAAGTAATACATTCTATGTCAGAATAGTAGGCAACAGGTCAATTCTTTCCTTCTACTTCAAAACTACTAAAAGAGGCTAGCTTGGTTAATTCTATGTATTTACTCTCCTATTATAAATACAAAGGTCATGGCAGGTAGGGTAGTTAATTTTCTCTTATCTTCTCCATGCCAAATTCTTGTTTTCTTTCTCCTCTTCTCTCTTTTCTTCTATCCTTTCTCTCTTTCTATTCATTTCTTTTCTTTTTATTTTTATTCTGCTTCATAAGAGATTGCAGACCATAATAGTATCATTATCAGATAAATAACCATATTGGTGTTGACATATAGGATGAAATTCTTAAACCACGACTGAATTTTAAAAAGAAAATCTAAATTACTGATTATTTCTATCAATTGCTGTCTGGACTTAAATTATTATTCAAGTTTCCAGTGCTCTAAACAGATGATTCACAAAGGGTTTTATTTCAGCTTTCGCAATATGGATATAAAGTTAGTAAATTTATATGATGTATGGGCCCCAGTTCAGTAAAGAAAACCTCACATGAGTAACACTTGTTTGCCAGATCAACATCAATTGGATAACACAAAAGCAAAGTCATTATGGCTGTTTACCATAACAAGATCCTGAGAATAAAACATCATGTCAAATTCCTATTAAACAATTCAGTTAACTTAGCCAGAAATGGTCTGCACAGATGTTAGTTTTATTAGGTTCTAGATATTCCCAAAGCTACAATAAAGTTTAGGGGTTTCTGACATCTATATTTGATGTATTGTTTATTTTTGGGCTGCATTTTCTTAAAGGCATGGGGATGGGTCCTTTATTTTAAAAGAAATGAGCTGCATTTTTGCTATTTCATTTAACAAACTTTTTCATTCATCATCATCTAAGCCTTGTCCCAACTATATGGAGTCAGCTACATGAATCATGCTTCACCATTATGTTCTGTTCAGTGCCATATCCATTGTTATTTAACAAAGTTTTTTTATTATCAATAACAAAATTCATACTAGATGTACAAAATAGGAGTTTGAAGATGAAGATAATGTCTGTAATAGTGTGAACATAGGTTCAAGTGCAACAGTAACCACTTTGTGCAAAAGTGCCAGGAGTTAGGACCATATCCAGTCCATCCCACTCAAAATCCTGGATGGTTCAGACTAGCATTGGTAATGACCTTTCTTCACTACGAGGATCTTAATAACTGCTGGTAACTTCCAAGTATTACAATTGTTATGAGCAACATTTGTGCAACAAGCAACAGTAAATACCCAGTAGCATTTTGTAGTTTTTGAGGCATCCTTCTTGGAACCTAGCAACCAATTCACCAGATAAGGAATATCTGGCTAAATCAGATGCAATTGGACGCATTAAAAGTCAAAGAAAATGTTTTAAAACATTTGCAGAACAATACCATGGAATGTAATAGACATAATAGCTGGCTAACAGCAAATGGTTAAAGATGTAGGAACATTCATCTGGAAATATTTTTCTTCATCAATCATATAGATATCTATTTCCTATTTTTCTCTGTTGTTAAGAGATATATTTTCTGAGGTATCCAAAGTACAGGCTAAAAAGGTTTTTAAGAGGTGAAATAAGATATGAACACTGTACCAACAGTAAATTTTTATTATATTAACAAAATAACCCCAAGAGAATAAATTTTGAATCACTTAACTTGAGCACAAGCTGGCCTAGACAGATAAGGAAAACAGCACAGTTCATTCACAAAGGAAAAATTAAATGAAAATTAATGCCATTATGCACATATTATCTAGCAAAATGGAATTTTCATACCAATACGTTGATCATCAATATCAACATCCAAGAATACTCTGTGAGTAATTGCAGGGATCTCCTCCAACTTCTCTTCCTCCTAAAATACAAAGAAGAATTTGAATGAACATAAAGTGACTAATTGTTTTTTTTTTTTTCAATCATGAAGATTTTAACAGTTGAGCAACACAGATACAAGCAACAAATATCATAACGACACAGTGTAGGGATCAGACATATGATAAGAAGAGAACCAAACCTCAAGCTTCTAAAGGAGGGAACTCATATAAATGGCACTTGGCATCCCAAATTAAATTAAAATTAAGTCATGTAAAAGACAGAAAAATTGCAATGGTATATGCTCACTCGTACTTAACAACATGGTATGAAGTGTTGCCAGAAAGTTTTCCAAATTCTAATGGCTCAGGTTATTGGTTACCTTTTGTAGTTTGTTTCAAAACTTAAGAATTAGTAGAGAGCAAAAAATTAACTTTTTGAAAAAAATATTTTCTAACTGGATAAATTAGAGAGCTTCCTCATGCAACTTACCTATTTCTGCCACATGGAGGGATGATGTGGCAGATTTGAACTGTTAGTTGAGTTGGGGGCCCTCTGGATTCAGGAGTCCAAATCCTCCAACAAATATTAGCCTTCAAGAATTATATTTTTTTAATACAAAATTTGCTCAAAAGAAGGGTTATTGACATGTGGCAAGTTCTTCTGGGGCTGAATTTAGCCATGAATAGAAGCCATAAAAACAAATGTGTGGGGCCATGTTAGTTTCCCAACAAGATTGCAACAAAGAAGATTACACGGTCATTTAGGGAAGCTCACTAAATGAACTGACTAGCAGGCCTGCTTACTAATAGAATCATTTAGTGAAGAAGGTCGAATGACCAAAGAATCTTTCATATGGCAAATTGGCTTGGGACTCAAAATATCTCCACAGGTTCTTCACTTCTTCTTACTCTTATTTATTAGTGGGCAAATTTCAACCCCAAAACCCTGCCACTTAACCAGAATACACCTTGCTTTTTGTGTATGTTTAATGTAAAAAAAAAATGAAACTCTGGTCCTAGAGTGGATTTTGGGTACTTTTGACTTTAATTTCAAAACTTAATAAAGAAAAAAAAAATATATGCATGTATTTACAAAAGCATGAAGGCTCCTGATGTTATATGCACATTTGAAAATTTTACCATAAAAAAATTGTTCAAGTATTAGTGGATGATAGAATTGAATGGAGATGATCAACAGGTGCCCAGAAAAATAATGAACCATGAGCTCCATTTTCACCAGCAAAAGCCGATTCTTTTACAATAGAAATCAAAATTTTCATGCAAGACATCCTTACCTTATTTTGTGCAATAGCACATATCATAGTGGTCAAGGCAACACCTAGGTGACAAGGTGTCGTTAGAGGCTCAGCTCGCCTAATTGCCCAGCAGTTTTGTACATTGTGTTATAAAATACTTTTATATTCTTAATTTTTTGAGATTATAATTATAAAATAGACAATATTAAACTAAAATATTGATTTTGTGTGCTTATATACTAATTTCTTTTTATTGTTTTCTTATTTTTTAGGGTTTAATCAACATAGACATTGATAAATGTTGTATTGAACCCTCAAATACTTCAAAAATTTTGAATTTTCCATAACAAAAAATAGGGGTTCAGGCCCCTATATTTTTTGAATTTTCTTTTCTTTCTTCTTTTTCTTCCCATGAATATGTTGATTTTCTATACTTTAACATGAATTTATACTTTTTTTATGAAAATTACGTATAATTATTAAGGAAATATGATTATGAAACCTAGGGAACTACCCTAGTTTATATGTATTTTACTTAAAAAAAAAACACATATAACAAACAAAAGAACACTTTTCAGGTACTAATTATTTTAGGAAGACAGTCTCATTAAACAAAAATTTATTGTGTTGCACTTGATTGGATGATCATGCAGACCATAGGTAATGGTGGCAATACAAAGCTCAACCTTTGAGCGTCCAAACAGTCCCAATCGAGAGAAAATAATTCAGTCACTGAGCTTAGAAAAAATCCTACAAAATGGGTGCTAACTGCTAGAAGCATCATACGCTGTCTGGTTATAATAAACTAAGTCTGAGAGTCAAAAATGAGAAACGTCCATCAGCAAATAAGCATTCTTGGGTATAATGTTTATTAAGAGTTGGAAAAACATTCATCTTTCGAATCGCATCGTAGACTCATTTTGAGAAACAACACGCAAACAAACTATAGAGATCCTTTTATTCCGTAACCAAAGAAAGGGTCTTTAGGTCTTCTCTACAACATTCAAGATCCAATGACTTCGAGTACATAATTTCACCTAAATCCATCAAGGTCACAAGTAGATCGAAATCCATTTACGTGACACACGATTTCCAAATCGCACAAAAAAGAGTAAGAGCATAGAAAAATCAATCAATGCTTGAAAAGAGAAAAAGAAAAAACAATGTCTCTAATCTTTGCAAGCTTCCCAACAAACAAATACCCAAATAGGGGAAACTTGAACAAAACTCATAAATTTTGAACTTACAAGAAAAATGTAGGGAAGACCTACTGCATACGAATTCAGTGATCTCATACAAAAAACAAACATGGTGAAAATCCGAAAGAATAAGAAAAGATCGTTCCATAGCTAAGAAAATTTTACCTGGTGAGAAGTCGGGAACGCTAGAAAAACGACAACGGCGACAACGACCAAGAAAATAAGGCATCGGGGCTGGAAGAAACGTGAAAAATCTCGACGCATCGTTCTCTGCTTCTCCCTACACAATTTCTTCTTCCGGAGTTGGAGGTCTATCTTCCACTTCCCTCCTCACTCTCACCATCTCTCGCTCCTCTCTCTCTCTCTCCCGCTGGCGCACGCGCTCGCGCTCGTACTCACAACTCTTATTGGCCTGAACCTGAATGGCCTTTCTCAAACTCAGAAGCACGTGATGCCGAATCCAGAATCCCTACCGCTCTTTATTTCTTTCTTGCATAGGAACTTGGAAGAGTTGAAGAAATCGTTCGTATTCGTACAGAGTTCTGTTAAAACTTAAAAGCAACACCTCAAATCCGAAGCGCTGTAAATGGTAACTTTCATTTTCTCCTTGCATTATTTCTAACTAAGCGCCACTGTGGTAAATGGTAATTACCAATTAACAATCTTTACAAATATATATATGTATATAATGCTGATTCTGTATTTGACTTTACTTCCCGGCCTTAAATTGAGTGAGGATATTTCTCTACCAAAAAAAATTAAATCATATTATTTATTTTTTAATAATCTATTCTACCTATGTATAAAACAAGGTTGTCTAAGTTAGCATGCCTTTGATTGCTCTAAACCCCTTTTTTTATTTCTTGTTTTTATGAATTTTTTATTTTTTAATTCAATGTAATTATCCATTAAACTGATAAAGAAACAACATGGGCTAAATTATCTCTAACTACCAATACATAAAAAAAGAGGGATTGTTTTTCTAATGTCTAGTCAAGTTGTACCACTATCCCCCACTTTCCCTAAATTATCTCTAATTCCTATTTATCTCTTAAATTATCTCTAATTTTCATTTATCCTCTCTCATACTTTTTATTTATATCTATTTAAAGAAATTTGAGCCTGAACTCCATTTTTACCAGCAAAAGCCGATGTTTATTACAATAGAAATCAAACTAGCATGGACCCATGCGATGCAAGGGCTTTGTTAAAACAATTTCAGGTAATAGAGCTAGGGGTGCAAGTTGGGTGTACCCAATTCAAGCCCAACCCAATTCAATCAAAGCTTTAACACAGGTTGGGTTTAAGTTTTTTGAACTTTAGGATGGGTTTGAGCCAAAAAAAATGGGCCTAAACTAAACTCAGATTGGGATATATATATATATATATATATATATATATATATATATATATGCAGAGAGAGAAAAGAAAGTGGTGCAACTGGTTAGGTGTAGCCTATTCTTGAAATAAACAACTCCTACACAGTCCCTTTCCAAACAAGATCAATACAACAAGAACTACACTTAGATTTATTGGATTTGTTGCTAAAATATTGGTATTAAACTCGAAACTCCTAGAGGACGGCCAATGACCCAAGGAAACAAAAGAATCATTTACATTTTTTATATGATCCTCCCTTATAGATAAGACTTAAAAATCGAATAGAGTTCTTTTTGTATCACTTGGCTCCTTTCCTTTCCTTTTTTGATTGACTTGATTATATATATTCTTTATAACCTGTTCTATTTGGAAATTGAGCTACAAAACCCAACTTGCCCCAAAACCCATCCTTTAAACAAAAAACATGCCCCGTTGAGGTGGGTAGGATTGGATACCCACAGGGTAGGGTATAACTTGTCATCCTGTCATCCCTAAGCCTGAGATGCTTAATTAAGGTTGAGTTAGGCATAGGTTGGTAAACTCATTCTTAACCTTGAATTGGACCAATCTTGAGCTTGAGGTTTGAGACTTAAGATTGGATTGAGCCTTAACCCAACCCAACCCACTCAAGTTAAACCTAGTAGGGACTCGTATGATGCACGGGCATTATTAAGTAAAAGCTAAGCAATAAAAGCACATATGAGTAGCCAATTGTTTTATATTTTAACCTTTTAAATAATTAATAATTAGTTATATTTTATATATAATTTTAATAATTTTTTACAATACAAAAATAACAATAATTAATTTCATCTAGGTTGTTCAATAAACCGATGAAACCGACCAACTCGACTTGAGTTGGTTGGTTTTCTAATATTTCTGGTGGGTTCCAATTCAGCAATTTCCCAACCTTACCAAGTTGGGTCAATTTTGGTTTGGCCATTTGTTAATCAACAAAAACCAAACCAACCCGACCATATATATTATATATATTATATTATTTTTAATATGGAAAAGCGAAAAAATTCTCATATTCCTTAGTCTAAAATATTTATATTATAAATTTAATTTTTTTAATTTATTTTGTAATATTACCACTATAATTTTTTAATTTAATTATTTAAGTTTAAATCTTTTGGACCAACCAACCAAGCAAAAAATTGACCCAAACCAATATAACCCAAGTTGGTTAGTTTTCACTAATGGTTGGTTGGTTTCGGGTGACCAACTCCCCAACCCAGCCAAGTCAATTTTGTTGGCCAAACAACTTACAACTGAACCGAATCAATCCATTAACACTCCTAATTTTAGCTAAACTAATAGTTTAATATCTAATAAATAACAATAGTTTAATCTCCAATAATTATTGAAAACTTTCTACTAAATAACATAACAAAAATAGATTTATACATAATTATTGAAAATATATTTATCACAAAAATACAATAAATATAAATTTTAGTATATATAAATATATATTAAGATTTTAAAATTATTATTAATAAATATCAATTTTCTGAAAGATATTTTCTAGAATTATTAATTGATATAAGTGAAATAATGTTGTTATCATTAGTACATTAATAATTGCAATTATTATTATATTTTTTCATATCTATTAGAAACATTTTTGAAAGTTATTACCTATTTTTGTTATTTGAAAGTTTCAATACCTTTAAATTGTTTAATCTATTTTCATTATTTCAATAATATTTAAAAAGTTTTAAATTATTTATATTTTATATTCTTATTATCAAATACTATTAAATCTATTATAATTATTTTTGTGTTTTTGATAAAATTTTTAAGGTTAGTACATAATTTCTTTATTTAATCTATTTCATTTGTTTTTAAATAATATTTAAAATACAATTTAGTTATTAATTTTTTTAATATTTAAAATTATTTATTTACAATATTATTTATCTATTTAAATAATATCATATTTAGTTATTTCAATATTACTTATTTATTGAATTTCATAATACATAAAATTATAAGTTATACTATTGTTACATAATTTTGTTATTAATTTTAATATAAAATTATTATTAATTCAAATAATATGAAATCTATTATAATGATTTTCTAGTTTTAATGAAAATTTTAAGTTTATTACATAATTTCGTTATTTTAATTAGTTAAAATTTAGTTATGTTAAATATTTCATTATTTAAAACATTTATTTATTTAATTATTTAAATAAAATGTAAAATACTTAAAAATTTTAATTATTTAAATTTTATTTATTTTAAAGTTATTACATATTGTCAAATATTTTGTATGTAATATTTAGTTATTTTTAATATTTTGTTATTTATAATAATTAGTTACTGAAATTTTAAATAATATTTTTAATTTTTAATATTTATTATTTGAATAATATTTAAGTTGAATAATTCATAAAATTATTGTTAATACATAATTTCATTATCAATTTCATAAAAGTATAACATTATTAATAACACGTATATTATTAAGCCTATGATAATTTTTTGTGTTTTTAATAAATATTTTAAAGTTATTACATAATTTCATTATAATATTTAAATAATTCTTAATTTTTTAATCTAAACTTTCCTTTGATAGATATTGATAAAAAGCGGGGAGAGGATAAATAGAAATTAGAGATAATTTAGGAGAAAGTGGGGTATAGTGGTGCCACTTGGCTAGATTAGATTAGATTTTGGTAGAGAGATATTTTAGGAATAGTTTTAGGAAGGGATATCCAAAGGGATAAACATAGAGAAAAGAGGGGTGGGCTAGGCATAATGAGGTGTCATTATGAGAGAGGGAGAAGGGAGTGATGAAGTGGCTTCATGGGTATCACGTGGCATCATTCTACTATATATATATATATATATAGTTCTACTTTCATACAAGACATCCCTACCTTATTTTGTGCAATATCACATATCATAGTTCTCAAGGCGACACCTAGGTGACAAGGCATCGCTAGACGGTTAAAGGCTCAGCTTGCTTAATTGCCAAGCAGTTTTATAGTTATAAAACAAACATTATTAAACTAAAATATTGATTATGTGTCTTTATATACTAATTTCTTTTTAGGGAGCATTCTTTTTTTGGATTTGGAGGGGGGAAAGTTGGTCAATGGGATTTTGGTTCCCATTGACCAAGAATCCAATGTTCTTTTTTCAGTTTTATGTGGGGACTAGGGAAAGTTTATTTTCTTGGGTATCACTTACCCAGGAAAGTAATACCCATCTCCTAGGTGGGTAAATAACTTTCCCACATAGTGGGAAAGTTGCCAACAATTGAATGGGGCAAAAATGCCACTTTTAATAATTGATTTCTATGGCTAAAATGGTCATTGCCTTATTTATTTGGGAAATAAAAGAACATGGGTAAATGCACTTGCTTGGGTAAGTGTTTCCCAAGAAAAATTTTCCCAGGTAATTGCATTTACTCGGGTACGTATCTTACCAAAAAGTGAATGGGGCCTTATTGCTTCCTTATTTGTTAGGGTTTAATCACCAAGGAGATTCATAAATGCTATATTGAACTCTCAAGTACTTCAAAACTTGAACCAATAACTAGGGAAGAACTTAAAATTTTGTCTAATCATCAACACTTTTTTTTTTGAATTTTTCATAACAAAAAAAATGGGATTCAGCCCCTATTTTTTTTAATTTTCTTTTCTTTCTTCTTTTTTCTTCTCATGAATATGCTGATTTTCTATACTTTAACATGAAATTATACTTTTTTTATGAAAATTATGAATAATTATTGAGGAAATGTGATTATGAAACCTAGGGAACTACCCTAGGATATATGTGTTTTACTTAAAAAAAATCATTGCCTGCCTTGTCGCCTAGCCTTGCATTGGCACCTTCAAAAATATGTCGCATATAACAAACACAAGAACATTTTTCAAGTATTAATTGTTTTGGGAAGACAGTCTCATTAAGCAGAAAATTATTGTATTGCACTTGATTGGATGATCACGCAGACCATAGGTAATGGTGGCAATACAAAGTTCAACCTTTGAGCGTCCAAACAGTTCCAGTCGAGATAAACTAATTCCGCTACTAAGCTTAGAAAAACTCCTACAAAATGGGTGCTAATTGCTGGAAACATTATACACTGTCTGGTTATAATAA